GCTCTTTGGCCCCTTGAGTGTGGCTCTTCCACAAAATACCATGTGCGGGCGCATGTACAGTGTGATTAAAACTTCGTGGCCCATGCGCAGAAGTCGGTATTTTGTGGAAGAGCCACACTCAAGGGGCCAAAGAGCTGCATGTGGCTCACGAGCCGCAGTTTGCCGACCACTGCCTAGGGCAAAGGAAATTAAGGAGAAAATAAACAAATGTGACTACATCAAAATAAAAAGCTTCTGCATAGCAAAAGAAACCATCAACAAAATGAAAAGGGAGCCCACTGTATGGGAGAACATATTTAGCAATGATACATCTGATAAAGGGTTAATATCCAAAATATATAAGGAACTCATACAACTTAACAAAAGTTAGACAAACAATCCAATTAAAAAATGGGCAAAGGGTCTAAATAGACACTTTCTAGGAATTTGTCCTAAGAAACCCGAAATACCAATCAGAAAGAATGTATGCACCCCTATGTTCATAGCAGAACAATTTACAATAGCTAAGATTTGGAAACAGCCCAAGTGCCCATCAGTACATGAGTGGATAAAAAAGCTGTGGTACATTTACACTATTTCATGCAGCAGTAAAAAAAGAAAGATCTCTTACCCATTGAGACAGCATGGAGGGACCTGGAGAGTATTATGCTTAGCAAAATAAGCCCATCAGAGAAAGACAAGTATCACATGATCTCACTCATATGTGGAATCTAATTAACAAAATAAATTGATAAACAAAAAAGACCCAGAGACATAGAAGCATAGAACAGATTGCAGAATCTCTGAGGGAAGTGGGAGAGGGTAGGTAGGTGGGAAGAGATCAACCAAAGAACTTGTATACACATATGCATAATCCATGGACACAGACAATAAGGTGGTGAAGGCCTGGGACAGGGGGCAGGGTGGGCTAGAAGGGGCTTATGGGGGAAAAAAGGGGACATATGTAATACTTTCAACAATAAAGATTTAATAAAAAGAAGATTAATCACTAGTAGCCTAAGCAACTTGAAAATATTTAGAAAGAATAAAGTTATTTTCCTGACTAGTTAAAAATATAACATATATGTCTATAAAACAAAGAAATAAATACTAAGTACTATTTTTAAAAATCCATATCCTTTGAATAATTATCCTTTTAGAATTTTTTTTGACAAAGAAAACCATTAAATGGAAGAAAAAATATCACACAAAAAAAGATTCGTAACACAAAATCTAAAAAAAAATTAAACACAAATTATATCTTCAAACCTAAGAGAATGTTTTAAAATTATGGTATGGTGACTACTAATTCCAAATTATTATTTAAATTAAATTAAGACAACAAATAATCATAAATAAAATAATTATCTCAAATAATACAGAGGGAAGGAAAATATTTATAATAAGTGAAATAGCAGAATATAATAAAACATAATATCCAAAAATAGTAATTGAGTTGAAGAGATAGGATTAAAGTAGGAAATTTTTGCATTTTAATTTTTCAATATTCTATTTAATATTGTTATATTGCATTAATAATTTTTAAAAGAAAAAATAGTTATGTATAACGGAGCAGCAGATTTTTAAAAAAACCATTCTCTTGAACAAAACTAGAAGACATTTTTCAGTTAAAAGGATACAAAATATATGTAGCAAAATAAGCTACAAGTACTTGTACATAAAAGGTGTCCTTATATTTGGATAAAACTTTCCCTAGAGCCTTGGCATCATCCATATCTCTGGGAACCTTCATATTCACTCTTTCTTCTCTAAAAAAACAAAATCAAAGTGAAAAATTTTAAAGCAGAAATTTGCTAAGATAATTAACATTACAGTCAGTCAACTTCAAAACATGAAGTTTTATCCAAAATGATGACTTGATCTATATTAAGCATAAATTCATAAATTTTAACTTTAAAAGTCCATACATTTTTTAATGCTTTAATATAATTAATATGAGACATGTGCTCTATATATGAAAGTTCAAAGTGACCCAAACTATATGGGTTTTTTAAAGCATTTGTTCCAACTTTGGTATAAATTTTGAATTAAGAAATAAACCACTGATGTTAGCAATATTTAAAACACATTTAACATCATTTTGGGTAATCCTCACGATAAGCTAAAGTCAATAATCAATTACAACTGAAATTAAGTAAGCATTTTATTAAATTTATAATCTGTACCCTTTCTGAAATATTCCAGCTCAGAATCCAGAAAACTTAAAACATTTTCTGTTATACACCTGAAACTAACATAACATTGTATGTCAACTATAATTAGAAAATAAATTTCAAAAAACTTTAACATTTTCCCCCTTTCTATTAATTTTACTTTATATTTGGTTTCTTGCTTGGAACTGAATAATTTCTTGCTTATAAAAGCCTCAAATAATCACCTTTGCATTTAGTGTATATTGTGCCCATTTGTTTACATGATAAAATGTAACTGACCTTGCAGAACAATGATAGAGTACTGCTTAAGTCCTATAAAAATAGCAGGTAAGCCCTAACCAGTTTGGCTCAGTGGATAAAGTGTCGGCCTGCGGACTGAAGGGTCCAAGGTTCGATTCCAGTCAAGTGAATGTACCTTCTTTGCGGGCACATCCCCAGTAGGGGGTGTGCAGGAGGCAGCTGATTGATGTTTCTCTCTCATCGATGTTTCTAACTCTCTATCCCTCTCCCTTCCTATCTGTAAAAAACAAAACAAACAATAAAATATATATTTTTTTAAAAAGCAGGTAAATGCCCGGCTGATGTGGCTCAGTGGTTGAGTGTCGACCCATGAACCAGGAGGTCACGGTTCGGTTTGATTCCCGGGCAAGGCACATGACCAGGTTGCAGGCTCATCCCCAGTAGCGGATGTGAAGGAAACACCCAGTCAATGATTATCTCTCATCATTGATGTTTCTATCCCTCTCTCCCTCTCCCTTCCTCTCTCTGAAATCAATAAAAATAAAAAAGGAAAAATAGCAGGTAAACTAAAATTGATTTTCTCACTATAAATTTAAACACTGCCACATGCATGCTTATACACACACATAACACATAGAAAGAAATAAGCAGAACAACAGGTTTATAATAACACATTATTATATACATGTAATGTTATTCTTAAACCAGAGTGAAAACAAAGACAACCTTAATCTATACTCTATTTCCCTCTTTCAATCAGTTCTCTATTTTCTAATCTCTGATCAAAACCAGACAGAATCTAAAATTCAATCATACTAGTATTAACATAATACATGCTATCTTCCCAAAGGCATTTCAAGAAATCAAAATATTAAAATATATATAAGTTTAACTATAAATTTTCAAGCATAAGAAATTGTTAGTGAGGAATTTAGAGGAAACAGTAACTTCCTGGTACTATGAAATCACATTTCAGTTATCTGTTACCACACCAGGCTGGCCCTGGTTGAAAGTCTAACTACATTTCAGTAGTCTTTTGCAAGGTCCATTTCACTGTGAAAAGTACATATTAAGACCATATTATTTCCATAAAACAGGGAAAAGAAAAGGTGCTAGGAGACACAGAACTAATGGATGAGGAAACGAGTAAACAGGAGACAAAAATTGGTCATAAAGAAAAGTAAGAAGGGAGAAAACAGGGATGGATAAAAAGGGGAAAGCAGAGAAGATCATCACTATTTTTCAAAATAAGGTCAATATCTATTATAGACTGTAAAATAAACTTACTTGATCACTATTATCATTAAAAAATAAAATGCAATAAACCAAATAGTTTAGAAAATATCAGAAACCACCACTTGTTTCACAAAACTTTAAGTTGGTTTTATATGTATATATGTATGCAAGTGAAGGGAGAAGAGGAGAAGGAGGTAAATAAGCACATACATATATGCAAGATCATTAAAAACATTAGACCTTAATTAGAGGAGCAGTGCTAGAAAAATCTTTCATAAAAAATCAAGAGGTATATTTGGACAGAAGTAATTTTTTAAAAAATATATATTTTATTGATTTTTTTGGAAAATCAAGAGGTATATTTGGACAGAAGTAATTTTTAAAAAAATATGTATTTTATTGATTTTTTTTTTAGAGAGGAAGGGAGAGGGAGAGATAGAAACATTAATGATGAGAGAGAATCATTGATTGGCTGCCTCCTGCACGCCCCCTACTGGGGATGAAGCCTGCAACCCAGGCATGTGCCCTTGGCCAGAATCGAACTTGGGACCCTTCAGTCCGCAGGCCAATGCTCTATTCATTGAGCCAAACCAGCTAGGACAGAAGTAATTTTTTAAAAATAGGTTTTTATTGATTTTAGAGAGAGAAACATTGATGAGAAAGAAACATCTATCCACTGCTTCCTACATGCCCCCTACTGAAGATCAAGCCCACAACCAGAGTATGTGCCCTGACCAAGAATCGAACCACCAACCTTTTGGTACATGGGACAACGCTCAACCAACTCTTACCAGCCAGGGCAAGAAGTATTTAAATAACAGTGTCAATATCAATATGAACTTGCCACAATCCGTGAGAGCTGATATACAATCACCATGACAGTTCTGTTGCTTAAAATTAGTTTAACTTTTAATCTACAGATGTCTAGATATTTTCAGTTTCTTTCCGTATACTTACTCACTAAGCTGAGGAAAGTTTTTATATACCAAAAACATAACAAAAGCCGCAGATAAGAAAATGGACACCAATATAAGAAGTGACATTCTTGCTGACCCAGCTTCTGCACAGGCTTTTTCTGAAACAAATAAATAAAAAAAGATGTTATAATTATAATAAATATAAAGGAAGACAGTATTCCAAACCAGCAAATAATTTCCTTAAAGGCTTTACTCCCAAAAAGCTGTTCACACTTTTGCCCAAAAAAACCCTGTAACATTAAATTTTAGGTACAGTTATTAACCAGGCATAGTACTTTTCTGCCTATATCCATTTTATTTTATTTTTATTTATTTATTTTTAAAATATGTTTTTACTGATTTTAGAGATGGGAAGGGGGAGAGAGGGATAGAGAGAAACATCAATTGGCAGCCCACAACACGGGCATGTGCCCTGGCCAGGAATCAGATTTGCAATCTTTTGGTGCAAGGGACGATACCCAACCAACTGAGTCACTCCAGCCAGGTCTGGCCTATATCCGTTTTAGAAGCATAAAAAAACAAAAAAACAAAAACAAAACACCAGAATTTGTAGCACTGGTTTGTTGATAAGCCAAAGGGGGAAAATGGGTATTGCTCTAAGTGCTATCACTGACTTTCAATTTTATTATCTACTAGAGGCCCAGTGCATGAAATTCATGCACAGGTAGGGTCCCCAGGCCTGGCCCGGCGATCAGGGCCTATCGGGGCCTTCTGGATGCCGGCCAGCGCTTTCCTTCATTCTGCCCCGCCCCCTTGTGGTCAGCACATGTCATCTCGAGCCATCAAACTCCTGGTCTGGTGGAACTCCAGAGGGGACACTTTGCATATTAGCCTTTTACATATATAAATATTGGGAGGTGACAGCATAGGCAAAATAGCCTCTTAGGAAAAATGAGGTACTCTGGCAATTACATCAACTGTCATAAAAACCTAGAGATTTTGCTAATGCAGTGATTTTCAACTTTTTTAATCTCATGGCACACCTTAATGAATTACTAAAATTCTGTGGCACTGACAAAAAATTAAGTATAATTCTGATTCATTCATACCAGACAGCTATTATGTTGATTGTTGTCATTTTTTTATTTTATTTAACAATCTAAGGGAAAATAGGTCAGTGCCCCTGACTAAATAGTCAGGTATGGCATGTTTTAAAAATTCTTGCAGCACTGCCATGGCACACTGAATGAAAATTGCTGTGCTAATGCAACTGGTTAATGTTTCTCTTTACACCAAAGGCTTCAGAATATAGTTGAACCTCAAATGTATCTGGGTGGCTCTATCTGCGATTCCAAGAATGGGACAATTTGTTTGCATTCCCTCACAAGTTAATCTTAATGTTACCTTTAAAATTTTATGCAAGATAAAAGTATGAAATGAGATCCAGGAAACAGTAAGCAGAAGAATGAGCAGGCTGTTTTTCCCTGGAAGCAGTCAATAGTACACCTTAATAGTACTCACTGGGGAAGAGGCAGATACATTATTCCATGTATATACTGATAACATTCATGAGATTTAAAAAAATATATGTATACTATAATTAGGATTTATTACTTTCAGTTCTCTGAGAATGGATTTACCACTATGCCCCACCCAATCACTGTCTATATAACTTTTATTCATGCTTTTATGAAGTATGCTTTTACTCTATTCAATTTAGCAAATCATTCTTCATGAAAATTTATAAAGGTGTATCAGGCAAATGTTATTGCCTGCTCTAGTAAGACTCCCCTTCTCTGACAACGAGTACCTTTCCCATGTCCACCCCCCCTAATCTCATTGGCCCTATTCTTACCATGTGATCCCAAACATAGAAGGCTAGCTCACTCAAGGTTGGACACCTGACCCAAGTAGAAACAATTCATTCCTAAGCATCTAAACCAGTGGTTCTCGACCTTCCTAATGCCGTGACCCTGTAATACAGTTCCTCATGTTGTGGTGACACCCAACCATAAAATTATTTTCGTTGCTACTTCATAACTGTAATTTTGCTACTGTTATGAATCATAATGTAAATATCTGATATGCAGGATGTATTTAAAGGGGTCACGACCCACAGGTTGAGAACCGCTGAATTCTAAACTAAGAAAAAAAGATACTGCTGTCAAGGTCTTGAGGCTGAGAAGTCAAACAATATAGGCCACAGTCAATAACATGGCAAGCCAAAGACATGTATCAGAAAACATAAGAGGGGAGATTGGAAAAGAAATCCAAAGAGCAGGAATGGGAGATATAGATCAGCTACTGGATTTTAACTTTCCACTTCACTTGAAACCTGGCTAAATTATTTCTTGCTCATAGATACCAGTGAGATTGTCTCTTAAATTCTTAGAACAACTTCCTTATTTATTTATTTACTTACTTACATCCTCACCCAAGAATATTTTTCCATTGCTTTTTAGAGATAGTGGAAGAGAGAGGGAAAGACAGAGAGAAATATCGATGTGAGAGAAACCATCGATTGGTTGCTTCCTGCCCTGAACAGGGCCCAGGCCAGGGAGGAGCCTGCAACCAACATACATGCCTTGACCAGAATCGAACCCGGGACCCTTTGATCCACAGGCCAACGCTCTATCCATTGAGCCAAACCAGCCAGGGCCAACTTCCCTTTTTATTTGTGCTGGTTTAAACAGATTACTGTTCCTTTTCAACCCAAAAGCTTTAACTTTCATGTTATCTTTTGTCTCATTATGAGTTTATGTTACAACTGAATTAGCAAGATTTTGCTAAATTCTATGTTGAACATAAAGCAATAGAAACCATCAAGCCCCTTCCTACTCAAAGCATGTTCTGTGATCTACCAGAATCAACTTCATCAGTGAGCGTGTTGAAACTGCAGATTCTCAGGCCAAAATTCCAGACCTAGTAAATCAGAATCTGTATTTTAATAAGATACCCAGGAGATCTGCATGCACATTAAAGCTTAAGAAACAACAATCTGATTCACCCTACCTATTTTAAAGGTAAGTAAATAGAGGCCCAAAGGAAGTTACACTATTAAAAAAAAAGTACTAAGCAACCAAATAGTGTTAAGTATATCTCCAAGGCATTTTACTATCAATTTACACTTAACTCATAATCTGCTGAAACACCAATTGCTTAGGTTAATGCTTTAATATACTAAATGTAAATTATTCTTACCTGTTCATTAAAGCAGGTTTTCTAAAAGACAATATAAGGTCTATTGAGTTCTAGTATGTGAACACTAAGGTTAAAAAAATGTTCTCTTCCAACTTTCTATAATGTATACATATCACAAATCAGTCTAACCTCTTAACTAGTACCTACCATTTTAACTTTGTTATGTTTCATCTTAATCTCAAAAAGAACTTTACTTCAAAAACCAAGACACAAATAGAAATTTATTTGCTCATATCATACTTCTAAAATGCACTGCAGGAAAAAAAATCTATACATATAAAAGGCTAATATGATAAGTGTCCATCTGGGTAATGACATCACGTATCAATGTCCGGCTTCCTCTCCCTAGCAACAACTAGCCTCCTTGCAGTTTCTTCAGCCCAGGAATATGACTTGCTTTATAGCCAGGTGCAAACATTTCACCCTTTAACCAAATGTCTGTGAAGCATTTTCCCATGCCTCATCTCATTTGATCCTCACAGAAGTCCTGGAGTAGGTAGATAGGAGACTTGGTGGAAACCTATTTTCTTTTCATTAGCCAGAAAACGAAGATTTAGAAAGTTTAGAAACTTGACCCTGCCAAAACCGGTTTGGCTCAGTGGATAGAGCGTCGGCCTGTGGACTGAAAGGTCCCAGGTTCGATTCCGGTCAAGGGCATGTA